ACAGCAATGAATATCTCAGAAATACTCCTCTGCAATATTCTCTGAAGAATCGGCTACGGAAGACGTTTTCATGGCAAAGGGTTAACCGTGCCGCTAATACGGCCAGGCGCGTCGAGAAAGGGAGGGGGGCAGTTGGCCTATGGACTGTACCTCATTCCTCAGATAGAGAGGAGAGCGATCTAACTGCTTTATCTGGAAATGCTCATTGGATCTACAGTGACCTACCGGGTAGTGCTAGCTACTAAAGCGTTATCCCTTTGTCATGAATCGAGGGCGGTCACTCTAGGGACCTGAACATATGAGATAAGGTAAGACATAATGTGCTCCTTAGATGTTATAGTAGTAGGTCAGCCGATGATTATTCCCTCCTCTTCATCAACTAATACCCTTTCTTCGACTAAAAAATTTCTCTAGACAACTTCGTCTACGCATGCTTGATATTAAGAGAGCCACGTTTCCTGTTCGAAGCACCGCCACCTTATGAAGAACAGGCAGCAGTGCCTCCAGGGCAGAGGCGTATGGTGGCTATCAAGCTAGCTGACCTACCTGTGGTGAGTTAGAATGTTACTAAAATCACCCGGCGTTACCGCTAGTCGATTCGTTTGCCTCTTGGGGGGCTTCAGTGAAGAAGACCGTGATCAGGTCTTAAAGTCAAAAAAAGCGCAGCGTCTCTATTATTACTGATGGAGGGCTGTCTTTTTGGAGATAAGTGCAGTTCAATTTCAGCGCAAAGCGGGTGATATGCGTGTGCTCGAGACTGGTAGCAATCCATCATCGTCTTTGACGGCGGCTATGTCAGACTACCACAAAGCTGCTCAAGCTCAGACTGGCTCTTCAGAGAATACGGCTCGGAGCGCTCGAAGCAGCTCCTCCTACCCTCAGAGCGAATCGGAGAATTCGGCTTCTGGGGTGGTTCCGGTGTCGCTTAAGCGTTCGTTTTATCGTCCTAGGCTTATATAATGATTTGTTTTATTGTACAGAAACAGGAAAAGGACGGAAATAATGTTGAGACATGACCACAGCCGACCTACCGGACTGCTCATGCAAAACATAGTCATCGATCGCAGCGAAGAAGCCCCATTAGCGGCGGCTACCGAACTGCGGTGCGCTGACATTCACTACCAGTCTTCTTTTATTTCAAGCGTCTATTTTATCTGCAGTAGAGCGATTGATTAAGGATAACGATTGCGATAATTTGGTACAAGTCCGTCGACTAGGGGCATGAGATGGGTTTTGTGTGTTAGACGAGCAGCTAGTGGACTTAATTAAGATTTCTGCTCCTTTCTTTCCAGCGGGAGAGAATCGCCAGCGAGGTTGTGAAGAAAAGATTAAGGAAGGATAGGGAGGTAAAGCATTGTGCTGAGTGTGGGTTGAGGTCAAGTGCCCGTTCGTTGTGAAGGATTGCGGGCTGGCGTCAAGGTCTTATCTTCCATGTACATTGCGCAGTGGTCTGTTGTAGAGTTGCGAGGGTCGGGGTATACACGAAGTTATACGAGTTGGGGGCCAGCCGATGTACAAGTCAGTGTTTTTATCCTCCCAGACAAGTCTGGTACCAATTAACCGACCCCGGAGGGATGGAAGGCTTGGTTGGCCCGGGCGACTCACGACCCAGGATTTGATCCCCGGACCGCTCGCGTGGTAAGCGCGCCACTTGTCACTACACCACTTCCGCCCTCTCTGAAAAACATAGCACTGATAAGGGGTGGTGATTGAGCGTCACTTGATTTCATGATTCATCCTCCCTACTCTTCTTTACCTTATTGAATCGGTTTGGTTTTGGGGCGACTCGTAGGGAACCAGGGTCAACCGTGTCCGTTGGATCCCAATTATTTTTTTTCTCGGAATGGTTTACGACCCCCTCCCCCTTCTAGAGGGCCTCGATACGACCCCCCTTCGGGCCATCGCTATCATGGGAGCGGTTCTATAGTATTTGATTCTGAGACCAGTCGACACAGCCAAATTCAGGGCCATCGCCATCATGGGAGCGATTCTATAGTATTTGATTCTGAGACCAGTCGACACAGCCAACTCCGCCCACTTTTTCCTCCAAAATTGCCATCGAGCGGGAAGGGGGGAGGGGACTTTGTTCAACGGACGGTTGACCCTGCAGCAAACTCATTTTTGTTGTCGTGTAAGATTCATACTGAAACAAATATACAATATACAAGTGTAATAGTGTAATATTCCAAAGCAAGCGAAAGATTGAAAGTCCTGAGCGAAAGTGAATTCGGCAAAAATGAGCGGCATGAACTATTAGTGCACAACAGCTCAAAACTCTTGTTTAACCATACAGTATCAGTTTTTCAGACACAGCCTTCGAAAACGAACAAAGAATATGATAAAGCGGTCAAGGTCATTGAAGGTAATTCAGGAGTTTGTTGACCTTTCAATTTAATTCACATTTTCCATACAGATGGAGAAAGCAGCAATGCTCTAAAGGATAAAGCGACACAGGAGTCGGCGCCGAAAGAACAGGGATCCAAGGAACTAGCGTCGAAGGAAGCGGACCCGAAACTGGAGTCGAATGAGCTTGCTGGGTCAAAAGAACTGGGATCGAAAGAGATGGATTCCAAGGAACAGGGTTCAGAGAATCCGGCTGTGAAAGAGCAGACAGCAGTGAGCGAAACACGGAGAAGATCCCGCGGCTCAAAAAGGCAGACGCCGAGTCACACCCCAGCACTTTCACAAACTCAGCAAACAGACAATGAAAATATGTACTAAGCTCTTCCATTAACATTTTTTCATTTCTAGTAAATGTCTAGAAAGATAAGACTAGAATATGACAGTTGTCTTGTTTACGATAAAACATACGTCTACAATAAAACATTATTTACAAAGTTGAAAGTTTTTACTTGTCAAAATGAGCGGCACTTCATAAAACACCAGAGTTTTGTATTGATATCATGAACTTTGCGCCGCATACGTGATTACATAAGTTATCCCGCGCAAAAAAGTTCGACTTCTATATATGCCGCCTCCACGCGCGCGCCGATGGCGTTTGAAACGCTCTCGCTTCTCAACCATCCATGCCGAGCTTTGTTCCCGTCCGCAGCAGTCTACGCTTCCAGGACCGGACTATATATCGCCTCGAGGTAAACTGCCGCCTATTTTAGCATTCCCACCCACATTTTCTCCTCTCTCAGTTTTCCCCGGTCTCTGAATTGTCTGTGAGCGATTCATATGCATGGCAGCAAACCCCGCCCAGTATTAAATCTCGAGGAAAACTCCGCCTATTCCGCAGCATGTTCACTTCGCTGACCTATATCCACCTTTTCCACCTACCAGGACCACTTGCAACGGAGTTGAATCCGGCAGCAAACTCCGCCCACTTGAGTGCATGTCCGCCCAGCAATAATGCGCTCGATTCCTTTCTAAGGCCCACCCTCCTATCCACTTTCTCCCGTCTCCATGAACTTCTTCGGAACCGCTGTTGCTACAGCGTTCGCCGCATTCGACTCCGCCCCATTTTCGCGCGCGGCCGTCCCCGCCCACGCACCAGCAGCAACTTGTTTTACCGCCCGACCCTCTCCCCCTTTCTTCCCAGTCTCCCGTTAACTTTTAAAAAAGTAGCAAGTTTGGCAGAATTCCCCCGCTTTTGTGCTCGGCCTGATGGCCCAACACACTAGCGACTGAGCCTGCCCTCTCTTTTCTCTGCTCCTCTATCCACCCATTCTTCATCCCGGCTCTTCCAGACTTATGCGGAACGCGATATTAAGGGACCTGTAAGAAACGGTCGCTGTGCTCCTTGCCAGGGCAACGCTCACACCCATTGTGAAGCAAGCCTGGTCCGCCTCATGTTATGCTAGCACAGTTTTTTCTGGCTCTGTATGCTTTCTAGAAAAACGGTATTATGAATCTTTTGGTTTTATGGAATAAGCTGCTTTGTAAAGAGACGTGGCCGCACAATCTCTCTCTTGATCCGCTCTCCAGATCTCCAGGACTAGAAATTGTACGACAGACAGACAGACAGACAGACAGACAGACAGACAGACAGACAGACAGACAGACAGACAGACAGACAGACAGACAGACAGACAGACAGACAGACAGACAGACAGACAGACAGACAGACAGACAGACAGACAGACAGACAGACAGACAGACAGACAGACAGACAGACAGACAGACAGACAGACAGACAGACAGACAGACAGACAGACAGACAGACAGACAGACAGACAGACAGACAGACAGACAGACAGACAGACAGACAGACAGACAGACAGACAGACAGACAGACAGACAGACAGACAGACAGACAGACAGACAGACAGACAGACAGACAGACAGACAGACAGACAGACAGACAGACAGACAGACAGACAGACAGACAGACAGACAGACAGACAGACAGACAGACAGACAGACAGACAGACAGACAGACAGACAGACAGACAGACAGACAGAGGAATCGCTTATAGTGGGGGATGCTGCTCCGTAAGCCCTACTCACCTGTGATGAAACCCTCAATCGCATCAATTCGAAACCAAACATATCCTTTTCTATGAACGAAGACCTTTCCTGAAACATATAATACACCTGCAACATCGGAAACCGTGATATTTTATGCCGGAGATCACTGTAGAGAAGCATGCGCGCTTTTTGCATAGAATAGCGTCTTGAACACCGTTTTATACTGTTGGATTATTTTTATTTGGTTTTATTTGGTTTGTATCAGTTGGTGCCTCTCTGTTTCTCACGAATTCGCTAACTTTGTATATGGTTCTCATTGAAGAATGCTTCAACTCCTTTTGTTAAGTCTCCTCGATAGACGAACTTGTAGCGGCTTTCCTATGAGTTATTATTAATAACCTGCTCATAATCATAGAGGGTACTGATTGTAGCTCATGTCTCTTTTAACTTTTCTCTTGTGAGCAAACAGGAATGAACACTAACGCAAACGTTTGAAGTAATGATTAATGTGGCACCAAAAGCAACCCTTAAGCTTTATTGCATGACCCATAAACAGAATTTACATTCAATCGAACAGCGAAGCCGAATTACCTCAAATCACCATCAATATAAATTACATTTCTTTTTGGGCACAAACAATAAAATGCGTCAATGCCACGAAGGCCTTCCATACCAGGTGCTCCAGGCGGTCCATTGAAACCATCTGAGCCGGGTTTCCCTGGAGGGCCAGGTGGCCCCGATGGACCGGGTCGACCAGGTTCAGCACATTCCCCCACTTCCCCTGGCGGCCCCGGTTCTCCAACTGGACCCCTTGGCCCGGGATCTCCTGGAGGTCCCAAGAAACTCAGCGCACCCACCCCAGGTTCCCCCGGTGGTGCATTTCTTCCTGATTGACCAGGCAATCCTGGAGGACCAGGAGGCCCTGGTGGTCCTGGTTCTCCATCGATGCCTGGCTCGCCAGGAAGCCCAGGTTCACCAGGAGGACCTGGTGGTCCAATGGGGCCGTCTGGTCCTCGTTCACCAGGCATGCCGCCCGGACACAGAATGCAATCGAAGCCGTACAGGAGAACTGGGTAGTGTTCGCCTGCGTTGCCAGGAGCTCCGGGTAAGCCAGGTTCTCCGTCGGCTCCAGGCAATCCTGGGGGTCCACTGGGGCCAGCCGGGCAAAGCATTGACTGTGCCGCACAGTTGCATATATGATAAGGGTGATAAGACACCGGATCCGGCATTCTCCGTTTTTTGAGATTGTGGAACTGACTTGGAATCATCAGACGCTTTATCACATCAGCTTGGACCTGAAATAAAGCGGATCAGATCAGTTCTTGCGCTGCTGGTCTACGTTTGCATTCATAATGAGTGCCTGGCATCAAAGTACCAGTACCAGAATTGTGATTGTTGTAATTGTTTATTACACAGGTAAACCCGTGTGGAAAAAAATAATTATAAATAAAAGTGGTGAGAATCTTCAAAAACACTTGAACAAATAACAGTTAAAAGATGCAACTCAACAGAAATGCCATAAGAAATGACGAATTAAGTTTTGAGATACTTGTCTAAAGCAGCTCTGAAGGAACTAAGTTTGGTGGTGGATACTCCCAAACGAACCAGTCTATTGAACTCCAAGGTGGTCCTGTTCACGAAAAAATGACGTCTGACGTTACGCTTTGCTCTACATGCAACTACTCTAGAACTTCACTCTAGAAATGATGAACGAGTACACATAAGGTTTCAAACCAACCTCCATAGCATTGTTACTGAGTAATGCTATTTTTCTTGGGCCGCCGCAAACGCCGATAGTCGCACCTTTTTATTCTTCCAGGACCTGATAATGTTCAAAGAACTCCGGGAAATGGTTCATCTTGCTTGTCGAGGTTTGCCAGGTGACTTGCCCACTCATATTGTTGTAAGTGGTAAGCTACGAGGTAAGCAAACCAGCCCGTTTGGCGTTTCTGCTGG